ATTTGCAGGCAAATGCAGTTGTCGTTTGATGAACCGCACTTCCGCACATATTTTGATGGAATAGACTAACCAGTATAGTGATAGCATGATAAACCAAGTCTCTGTATTAATGGGTGGGGGCTGCATTTCAGTGTTTCATATAGATGGATTTCCACGTCCAGACTATCAAACGCATCATACGGTTCAGTCAACGGGATGACCGTGTATACAAAATTCTGGTTCATACAACGAATTACAAATTGCCTCGAATAATGATGAAGCTTTGTCTCTGCGATCGTCTCCTCACTCCCATATAATAATAATAATAATAATAATAATAATAATAATAATAATAATAATAATGAGAAGAACAGGAAAAAGAAGAAATGCTCCACCTTACCAGGAAAAATCATGAGCACAATCTACCGGAAAAAATTCCAAGATGAGACCGGGATAGTGAAATCCATTCGTCGAAAACCGCATCTCCATGTATACTGGGATGAACAATCGCACTAGCTTTTGATCATGATTGTCTGTTTATTGTTTGTTTTTTGTATTTATCGATTGGCACACCATGTGGTGCGTTTGAATGGTAATACGTTTGAGCCACACAATATGAGGTCTTTACTGATTTACTAGCAATATTGATTACTGTTAGTTTTCTCCTGCCACGCTCGTAATAACCATACACTCCGGTTGATATTCCAAGACCCAATGTCGATTAGACAATTTATCAGTGACACCCTTATCTTTCGCACTCCGTTGAGAGATTTCCAACATCAACACATCGTTTAAACAAAATCGACTAACACTCATATCATTCCCATATGCGTTCTACTTGTTCCGTTTGTACTATACATCATTCATTCATGCTTGTCAGGTTTTACCAAATACTTTATCATTACTGTTATTATTCGACTGCCTATTCACCGAATATTTTTGTATAAAGCTTCATTCTAAACGTTCTTACACCCAACAAGTACAATTTCACGTGACCGAATGAAAACAGATAAAAACAGAAAAGTTGTACAACATCCAGGAAAGCGGAATACTTGTGTTAGGGTGCAGAACACAAACCCAGCCATTTTTGTTATGATGGACCAGTTTCATTTTTTAAACGAAACCGACAGAGACCACCTACCACAAGGTGGTCCAATGGAAACCGCGATGGACAAGGTCGTGGCGTAAAATCTTACGAATTCTTTTTCATCCGGCTTTTGGGAGAGATTCCACCGAACTAAGAGATGATCGTTTTTATTCATTGTCTCAAAGGCTAGTCATCATTGTCTTCATTTTTCTAGAGAACGCCATCATTCAAACGTTTTTGTGTGTGTGTTTCCCATGTTGTGGATAAGGAGTGTGGTACATCTGGATGAGCAAAGTTGACAAAACGAGGCTCGAGATGTTTACGACAGTTTCGTAAGGTGGACAGATTCCGTACGTGTAATTTATTATTGCAAATGGATTTTATGTGGTAATATACGGATTCCTGATCAAAAAAACTCCCTCACAGTAGTGCCTCTTTTGCTCCGTGCACAACAAGATTCACAATCTACTTACGCCTCATGTTTGCTGTTCGAAGTTAAATGGAAAGGGATGTGCACCTTTCGTTAAATATACCCGTATGTATTGTTGTATTACTGGCAACAAATAGTTGACATCACGGTTACTTACTGAACCGAGTTCTCAGTACGATTACAAGCACCCGTGGGATTCTAATCTACTCTGCTCCCGTGTATTTATATCGCTAAAAAGCACTCAACAATCTTTATTAACTATCAGCAGCAGCCTATGTCCAGGTCGGTTCTTATTCTGTGCTCCAACTGCGCAGTAATTTTCTTATGGATAACAAACCAATAGGAGCCTTATGGCTTCTGGAAGTTTTCTGACGTTCAAACTGGTGAATGAAAAAGACTTAAAATCCTGATAAAAATCAGGTTTCTCAGCCAATCATTAACAAAGCTATTCCCATATTCCTACTGTTTCCGCTTGTTGCTATTCAAGCTTTTATGTAGATATTGTGAAAAGTTCAGTAGCCCCAGTGGGATTCGAACTCACGCATGGACACCGCCCACGCTTGTGTACAGCGCACGCTCTACCAGCTGAGCTACGAGGCCTCGCCGACGGTATTTGTAAAAATATCAGCGCTGTCAGTGTGACCTCGTAGCTCAGCTGGTAGAGCGTACGCTTTAAAAAAGCTTAGGTGGCGTCTATGCGTGGGTTCGAATCCCACGGAGGCTTCTGAGCTTTTCAAAATCTCGACATAAAAACTTAAATCTGACAAACAATAATTTGCGCCAGCGGTAACCAAAATTTTAAACTGTAAAACGGGTAAACTGTCGTAATCGGTCTTACTACTCAGGTGAAAGTAGAGAGAATTTGGATTAACAAATAATCATCTCCTCACTTTTTCTACCCCATATTTTTCGAATTCAGCGATTCAAACAAACGGGACGTAAGTGGAGAAGAATTCCCACGATTTCGTTGGAGAATCGTCTCATTTACCCTAGTGGACCCTAGTGATTCGTCAAGTACCATTCAGCCTTTTCTCATGAACCACACACATGCTCCTCCGCTATCGAAACACGCTCCTTACGTTTGTAAAATTTGTCTTCCATACCGTCCACGTTTTCGTTTGCCTCCTCCTTCTATTCCCACATCGCCTCCCCCCCACCTACTCCTCTCAACTCCCCGTCATATTCTTGATCCGCTTCAGTCTACTGATTAATCTGTCTGTCTGTCCATCTCGTTGTGTAGCTTCCCTCTCTGTTTATGTGTTGCTTCTCGGTCAACCAACCCCTCTGAGTGCATTTTGTGATGCGATCTCCCATTCTCACATCTTTCAAGTGACGTACTCATCATCACCAGTACTATGCCAAACCACTGAATAGACATTGCCAATTGCAATGTCTTCCTTTTGCAATGGACTAAGCAGACCGTCTGCACAAGACCACAGGACTCAACACAAATTGCAAGGTGAAGTCTGACAATGAAACTGATAAGACCAATCCTTGCTCGGGTACCAAATACACGACTCTTCTATATTCGGACAAGTGCACAGTCTTCTCACTTTCGAATCCATCGTGACTGTGTATTTGTTCCTACCTATCTATAAAACCGATGCCTGAGAAATTAGGACGCTGAGCACGTAATAGAACTGTTACACCGCGTGAGCACTTCCGAAGTGTGATGAGAAGCAACTGGATTGGTAAAAT